GACTAGCGCTACACGTGGTTCTACGTGCACGGACTTCAAGGCAGTGTCCAGGCCAAGCGACGATAGCGCCCCATCCCCTCCACACCCACCTCCCCCGCCCTGTGTGTGTGACAAACTGAGAGCACTCACCTGATGATCCCTCCCCATCATCAGAAGATGCCTGGGAGATCTCCAGAGCCTGGGGTATTAGCTGAAGTGTGAGGGTGACCGTGCTGTCTGTGTCCTCCTCCTCTTGCAGCTGCTGATCCTCGTCTTCTTCCTTAGCAGGGAGCTCTGGGTGGGCAATGATGGGTGTCTTGAGCCCCGAGTCCACCACGATGGGCTTCCCCACCCCCCAGGATCTGGTGGAGCTCTTGGAAGTAGGGGCAGGAGTGGGGTTCTGCCCCCGAGTGAGAGCTGGGTGGGTGGTAGTCTGAACTGCACAATGAAGTGCAGCTCCCAGGCCTGGCTTCCTGGCACAAGGCTTGTCCCTGGTGCCTGCAGCTTTAAGTGCTGGCAGGAGACAGGAACTATAGAGTTCTAATTAGTTTGGATGGAGTGGCCACCACCGCACTTGTGTTATTTCCTGTAGGCCTCTTCTTTCAAAAAAACACCCTCTATCTCATCCATACATGCCTTTTTCCAAAAAAGCTTTTTTGAAAAAAGGCTTCTGTGTCTTAGGAAGAGGTTTACTGCTGTTGGAAAAACCCCTCCGTTCTTTCGACATTCCGTCGAAAGAATGCAATAGCAGTGTGGACGTAAGTATTGTTTTTCTGGAAAAACGCTGCAGTGTAGACATACCAAATAACATTTTCTTATTCATGAACAAAAAGACCAGGAGTCAACCACTGAAATTAATATGTAGCTGGTTTAAAAGAAACAAGAGGACAGGACAAGGAGTAATGGGCTTAAAGTGCAGCAGGGGAGGTTTAGATTGGACATTAGGAAAAAATTCCTAACTGTCAGGGTGGTCAAATATTGGAATAAATTGCCAAGGGAGGTGGTGGAATCTCCCTCTCTGGAGATATTTAAGAACAGGTTAGATAGACATCTGTCAGGGATGGTGTAGACGGAGCTTGATCCTGCCTTGAGGGCGGGGGGCTGGACTCGATGACCTCTTGAGGTCCCTTCCAGTCCTATTATTCTATGATTCTATGATTCTATGAAGAGGAAGTACTACTTCACACAAGTCAGTCACACAATTCACAGTCCACCCATGGAACTCTTTCTGTTTGACAGAAGTTTACAGTGGACGACAGGGGATGGAACACTTGATGATTGCCTAAATTGTTCATTCCCTCTGAAGCATTTGGCACTGGCCACTGTCAGAAGGCAGGATATTCAGATCCAACCCAGTATGGCCATCATGTGATATTATGCTATATGACTATGTAACAAAGGAAACAAGATGGGATTGCGATTGCTCCTACATTAGGTGTGCCCCCTCTCTTATCCCAAATGAGCCCTCCCCTTACTGCCATAAATTGAAATAATGGACATTAAATTTGGTAGAATTATACATTTTTATGTTAAGTTTTTGTTTCATAAAACAAAAACAAAGAGAAAAGAGATGGTAAAGAAGGATAACATAAAGAGAGGCAGGTGGCCACAAGTAAATTATGAGAGAAATGTAGAAGTTTTTAAGGAAACAAAGAGAACAGAAGATTTACACACACAGAGGCCACACAGAGCTCTAACGCCATCTGATCTGCTGATGAATTACGTGTAATGCCTCTAGACTGGCCAGCAGTCTCTTCACTTTTTCAACTTCAACACATACAAAACTGCACGAAGTTGCCAAATATTACTGCATTAGATAGGTTTTGCTGGGTAATGTCAAAATTTACTATTTATTTTGTATGAACTATAACTTCTTGTACTTCAGCTAGCTTGAGAGCAAAACTGCCATCTGAAGACTGATTAATTTTACCATTATTTGGAGGTCAATACAGCTGGTCCCCAAGTTGCGAATAGTTGACTTAACACCGTTCACAGTTACAACCAAAACTCGTAAATGGTGGACCAAGAATTATGAACGCGATCCGCGGTTACGAACATCGCAGTCGCGTGTAATTCTATGGGGTCCGACTTACGAACAAACCGAGTTACGACCAATTGCTTGGTCTGTAACCGGCTCATAAGTCGGAGAGAGGCTGTAATGCCTGTTAGACTAGTACCGGCAAAATGGTTCAGAACTAAATATTCAGGCTTCATATTTTACATTGTTTCTAAATTAAAATGTAGCACATTAAAAGGTGGACCTATACATATGTCAGAGGATAACTGACCATCCTTACCTAGAAAACCCATCTATTTGGCAATAAGTGCAGGTCCACATTGGAGGACTATGTCCCTAGAGGCTAGCTCTTCATTGCATGTGGTGTAATTGCCCTCAGAACTGCTTTTCTTGGATCCTGAACCTTAAGGACTCTCTTGAACTGTTTTAAAGAGATTCTGCTTGATCATTCTATGAAGAGAAAGACAGGTACAAACAGAGCAATATGGTAAAAGCCTTCCTATTGACAGTGCTTCTAAGAACACTTCACTTTTTTTACAGAGCTAGGGTTGGTTTTTTTTAGAAATTTCAAGAACTATAAAGTGCTGTATAGAGTAATAAGCCTTTTCTGCCTTCATCAGTGAAGTCCTGATTACTAAACTTCAGACAGTGCTTTGAAATACTAGGATTATCCAGTTCCAAATAAGCTTACAGATTAGTCATCAGATACAAGTGTCAATTTTCTGGAATGTTGAGTTAAATATGAGTTTATTCATGCCTTCTAAAAGTTATTGTATACTGCTGGAAAGAATTACAGGCATCTGCTTTGTAAACAACAGGAAGCAATCAAAGAGAAGTGCAGAAGCAAACTGAGGTATAGTGCTCTGTTTTCCTCTGAAAATTAATGAGCCCATGCAGCAGAGTCAAAAATTGAGGATAATACAAGGACTTTAACAACTTGTTATGAAGATCTAAGTTGGAATGATCCATGATTTTCTAAGTAAGGGGCCAAATTCAACCTTGGTGTCTGTGTAGACTTTGGTGAGAACTGTACATGTTTGTACTAGGACTGAACTTGGGTATCTCTATATGTCTACATTTGTTCTTCTTCGAGTGATTGCTCATGTCCATTCTGCCATCTGAACCTGCAGTCCCTACACCACATGGCTTAGAAGCTCCATGGTGGACAGCTCTGGAGTTACAGTGTTCAGAATGGGTGCAAGAGATCTTACTAGAGAAGACCGAGGCAAAATACAGCCTAAGGGCTGAATCCGGCCCATCAAGCCACCAGATCTGGCCCACGGAGGCAGCAGGGAGACCCAAGCTAGCTCCCCTGCTTGCCCCACAGTCCCGTGCACCATGCAGGAACACAGCTGCAGGGCTCCATTTCTGTTTTGAAACTGGAGGGGAGGGGGAAAGTTTCAGGAGCTGCCCCACCCCCAGCACAATCCCATTGGCCGGTTTCTGTCCAGAAACCAGGCAATGGGAGGTGCTTGTTGGAATATCAGGGAGCCAAGAAGAATCACGCCCCGCTCCTCGGCTCAGTTATTCAGTGAAGCACGTGGCCAGGCGAGCATGCAGGCTGGCTAGCGTGGAAAAGTTTTAAGCTCTGCAAGCCTTAGCTGTGCAGGGAGGCAGGCTGGTTTGGCAGCTGGCAATTAAGTCTCTTGGCCACAGCCTGCTTCTGGCCCTTTCCTGCCCCAAATCTTTGCCCTCCATCTCCACTCAACATACTGAAACTCTCTGTCCCCTTCTTACAACCATACTCCCTCCCAGATCTGGCATCCCAATCTCCTGCCCCAGATCACAACAGAGGCATAGCGAGGGTGTTATGCGTCCGGGGGCAAAGGCAATATTTGTGCTCTCCCCCGCATTGCTGCCACATGGTGGGGCTCCCAAACCTGGCGCACAGCTGAGCCCGAACCTGGGAGGAGGGGGGAGCTTGTATCACCACCCCCACTAGTTTGGGGCTGGGGCCCACGTTCACTAATCCTCTGGCAGAGGTGGAGAGGGGGGAGGAGGCTCCAGCCAATGGCAGTGGGCAGAGTAGGAGCAGGTGAGCAGAGGGATGACAGGACAAGTGGAGGGAGACTACATTGGTGCCCCACTAGCGTGGCACTTGGGGACAACTTTCTCCCTCCTCCCCCATGCCCTCCCCACTACACCACTGTAAATAATCCACCTCTTAGAATATTTATTGTTTAATGAATTACTTATTTTACTATCTACAGACATATAAATTGTTAAGTTTTGTGGTTTACATTCTGTTAAATAATTTTTTCTCTTTAATTTGTTCATATCCCATTCTCATTAGGTTCATGTCTTTTACATAAAAAAGTCATAGTCTTCAAATATGTAAGTTTTATAAAATACGAGAGAAATAAATGTTATACAACTTAAATATTAATTTCATCACTATATCACTATATATTCAATCAAGCATTTAAAATCACTATTATAGCAAATGAGTAACTCATTGCTTTAATGAATAAAAGGCAAAAAAGATTTTGAGCATATCAAATTTATTGTAAGCAATCTGTAATGCTTCCTAACTGCCTAGTTACTTACCTAGTTAACCTAATTGTTTTTCGTACAATCTCACAGCGATAAACTACATGAGAAGCGGAAGTGGGTTTTGCCCACGAAAGCTCATGATACTATCTACATGTTTTGTTAGTCTTTAAAGTGCTACTAGACTATTGTTTCTTAAGTTTTTCCTTTTGTTATAAAGTACCTTTTTAAAAAAATTCTAAGTACCCCCAGTATCTACAGTTTTCAGACATGCAAAATTTTTCTACTGTTGCAACAGATTTATTTAAACAGCTTAATTGTAGCTGGGCGGGCAATGAAATTTTTGGGTGTAAAAAGTACAAAAATAATAAAATGCTGTAAAATTTAAAACCAAAATTCAGTTTTCTCCAAATTTCAGTTGTGCTAACATACCCCCCAGACTTCTCTTGAGTACCCCTAAGGATAGTTGTACCACTAGGGCTGTGTCTAGACTACACCTCTCTGTCGACAGAGAGATGTAGGGGTATGTCTACACTACCCTCCTAGTTCGAACTAGGAGGGTAGTGTAGACATACCCCTACATCTCTCTGTCGACAGAGAGGTGTAGTCTAGACACAGCCCTAGTGGTACAACTATCCTTAGGGGTACTCAAGAGAAGTCTGGGGGGTATGTTAGCACAACTGAAATTTGGAGAAAACTGAATTTTGGTTTTAAATTTTACAGCATTTTATTATTTTTGTACTTTTTACACCCAAAAATTTCATTGCCCGCCCAGCTACAATTAAGCTGTTTAAATAAATCTGTTGCAACAGTAGAAAAATTTTGCATGTCTGAAAACTGTAGATACTGGGGGTACTTATAATTTTTTTAAAAAGGTACTTTATAAAAAAAAGGTTGAGAAACACTGGGGTAGAAGATAGAGAAGCTAGATAGGCAAGAACTCAGGGAAACAGACACAATGTTAGCGCTTGATTAGAGTGCAGTTGCTACGCATAGGGTCTCTGGTCTGGAACCTGGAGTAATGGGCTGGCCTGGGTTCCTCTACCAGCCATCCTGAAAATGTCTGAGACTAGACAGTGGAGCAAATGATGGCCTGAAACTGTTCAGTGCTACTTTGATGCCCCAAAAGGGGAGGACTAAGTGACTTGGCTGGAAGGCCAAATAATGAAGAAGGGGCACCCTGAATCCAGAGAGAAAGAGATACCACAGAACAAGAAACTGAAGGAAGCAGCATCAGACTGGTAGAGCATTAGTCATCAGTTGAGCCACAAGGAGTTGCCCCAGCTGTGAGTAGTGAACCTGTGGCATTGCCAAAGCACCTGCACAAAAGCCACAGACAATCTGGCCCTTTATTGTTAGTGAGATTTTTCTGTGCATTATTTATTGTTCCTCTAATTATTCACTCTGTTTGCCTCTGTCTTTCTTGTTTCACAACCTCTGATCCTCATCCTCCTTACCACATAGTTTATGCTTTCTTATACCAGTTGAAAATACTGAAATACAAGACACCGGCACACACAAAAGTTATGCTTTTACAGTAAATCATGCATTTACTGTACAGTATAGTTTTTAGCTTGGGTGACAATGATGTACTTTATAGTTACAGTCAAGAACATCAACAGATTGTAATACAATCTGTCAAGCATTCTCAGGAGGGAAGAACTGGCAATTTAGTACATTGACAAACTGTACTCAAGCATCTGGACCCCCGCAGAGCCAGGCACCCACAGCACCTCCTCAACCAAATCCCCCTCCCGCAGAGCCAGGCACTGGAGGATCAGGATGGGTAAGTTAATCTTACTTTTAA